TTCTAAAACACAACATTAAACAATGCTACAACAGGAATAGTTTTAACTGCAATGCCTCAAAAAAGTTAGCCAGGTAGCGCTGAAGCCTTCTGGTTCAAAACTGTTTGGTGTTCCTTAGTTACTGACTGCAGAAACATCAGCGCAAAGTTATGTAATTTATCTATGGTGTGCTCTTATACAGAAATTATACTGGTTTGGTGCATTCTGGAATAAATATAATATAATCATTTAATATCATTTAATATTCCACAAAAATATAACATCAAAACGGTTTAGTAAGCAAATGTGTTATGCAAGAGGTGAGTCATGCTTTAATAAGGGGCCATAATGCATTTCATTTTCAGGCTTGCCATTGTTACATAAGTGCTGACATCAAGACATGCAGATATGTTTCTGAACTAATCAATTTTTCACTCACTGTGTAACCTGATCTGGATTTTTTCTCCTGTGACATTTGAAGCCTTTGCCCTCAGTAGCCCAGGATGTGTGGTGAAAGGTGGAAAAATGGTGAAAATGTTAAAAATAATCCCAGTTGGATTGCTAAGGACTGGAGATCACTTATTACTGAGATAACTGACTAGTTCAGCAGTGATATCCATCATGACGCATTATGTTAAAACCATCGTATTTAGTCCTTTTAAACATGCACCTGTTGTACTTCCGTATTTTCATTCATTGACTCCGGACCACTTTGGTATGATTCATACTTCACTATAATCTGGTTCAGTCACTCTGTCTAAAAGAAGCTCTTTCAGCTGCCCATTTAAGTTTTTGTGATTGGCTGCGCTTGTCACTCGAAAAAAGAAACCGTAGGCAGGAGGTGGGTGCAGGTGGAGCTTCTGGTCTCATACACAGAGCCATGAGCTTGAGATAACCGTTTTATCCTCTCTCTTATGACATCATACAGAGCCAGAAATATATGAAATGCCCACCCCGATTTACACTATAGGCAGTATAAAATATGGCTGTGTGAAAAGTGATGCCAGTGCAGAAGTGCCTTAAACCTGTATTTTTTTTT